ATTGGCTCCAAAGCTTAACATTATCAATTGCTTTAAAATGTTAGACTGACAAGAATAATCTTTAGAATCCAGGCAAATGGACGATTTGGGATGGAACCAGCAGCCTTCAGGAAGAGTACAGGATAAAAAAGGCCACTGGACTAGAAGATAGAGGGTTAGCAGTAGTAGAAACTGCCAGAGCGGCTAGAGGGAGATGGAGAGAAATCCTGCACTGGCAGGGGCTAGAGGAGCAGATGGTCCAGCAACCCAGGCACACCCTCCATGGGGGAGAGAAAGAGACAACCACAAATACCAGCGCTGCCCAGCCCGACTGGCTTGGGAAAACCCCAGATGGGTTGATCCCCTGAGTTAGAGCATCAAGGGTGGGGGCTTGATGGGGGCTATCCCACTGCTCAGAAACTTGGGCAGAAATCCCCAGTGCTTGATGGTAGCCTCTTGTGCCCTCTCGGGAAGGCCACCTGGCTCAGCGGAAAAAATAAAGGCTTACAATTTTAAGATCACATCCTGATCCTCACATTTGCGGGGTGTGAGACTCTAGGAAAGTCACCGAATCTGTTTCTCAACTGTAATATTGGATTATAGTATCAACCTACAAAATTGCTTTGATGACTGAACGAGAGAATGCACCTATGTGAGTAGTCACCGCGTAATAAACATCAGGCATCCTGTGGCTTAGCGCCCGGCACCTTGGGCTCGCGTGGGCCTTGGGGTCCAGCACTGGGGCAGGCGCTGGAGCTCAGGCGCTGCCTTACTCCACAGCACGGTCCCTTGTCCATTCCCTCTCTCTCTTTCCAGGACACAGTGCTCCTCAGGGCGGCGTCCTAAAGTGAGCCCAGGGACAAGCAGAGCTGTGGAATCTGAACTTGCGGTCTGAGGGATTCCAACTCTGAACTCCTGGAAGGGGGGAATTGAGGCTTGCTGATGTTTGCATCATTAGAACTTGGAACCTAGAAGCCCACTTAAACACGTTGGCTGGATGCCAGGACAGTTAATGCGCCCACTGTGTGCCTGGCCCCTGTACCTCAGAACGGCGAGTAGCTAGGGCTGGCGAGTGTGGTGGATGACGGTGAGGAGGCCCTGCTAGCCAGGGGGCTATGGCAGGGTGGGAGACCTGGATTTAGCCACCGGCTCTGGAGCCAGACTCTCGTTGCAAGTCGCCCCTGGTGGGTGCTTTCTGTGTGCACCGAAAGCGAGAACCAGATAAGCAGCTGCCTGGATGTAGCAGCTGCCCGCTCTCGGACAGCAGCTGTGCCCAGTGGGCACCTGGAGCACACGTCCCCATTGCACACGAACCGCTCTGTCTGCACAGAAACAAACCTTCCCTTTCCCTGGGCATTAAAAGAACAGAGCTTCTGCAAAGCGATGGAAAAACAAATCAACCGGTGCTGCCCTGTGAAAAATCCTCTCTCCTCCCTCCTCGTAAAACAAAACGAGATTGGCTCTGCTATTCCGTCTGAATTAGTCACTGGTCAATGCCAAGGTGACTGGTTAAACACGGAGAGAGGAGGTCAGATTTACAAGGTTAAACAGTAAAACACTGGGATTGATATCTTCTAATCAGAAACGAGGTAGGAAATGAAGAATGCTTTCAAATTTCCAGTAAATGCAATGCTAAAATATTCAGCCATTTGGATATTGCCGCGTTATCAATCCAATTAACCCCGCTTCATGCTATCAGCGGCGTTCAGCAATACTGATGTGTTACAAAGCAATATGAAATAGCCCACTGCCGATTACGATCCCAGATAACAGAGAAAATAGAGCGCTTGTGTTTCAGGGTTTCAAAAAAAAGTAAAATTCAACTCTCATGTTACAAAGGCAATGATAACCTACAATTTGGTTGCAAACAAATGTGATTTTTGTTTTATCAGTCACATAAATTTGTCAAAATCATCAGCATGTGGGACTCTGTTTTTTGATTAGTGGTGACAACGCGAAATGAATCTTAATATTCCATAGTTGAAGTGACCCCGTAAGTAATGAAATAAAATTGATAAGCTGAAATGTTTTCTTGAGGTAGATTATCTTTTGTATAATGGCCACTGAATTTTATGGGTTTTCTTTTTCAATTGTTTTATAAATAGAGAAACAGATGTTTCTCTTACAGCAACTTGGCTTCCTTAAAGTTACATCTTCTGCTCAATGTAAGAACTGTCAAGTTCAAGTTGTAGCTATCATTTATTCCTACCTTTGCTGTGTTTGAACATTTTTAGAAGTTGATTTTATAAATATTTTATTATCAAAAAAAGACACAGGGAAATTGCCAAAATATTCTGGTAACTATTAGGTCTTTGGTTTTATTTCAACTGATTTATCTACCTATCTATTCATTTATCTATCTTTATAGGTAACAGATATTTCTCATAACTGACCACATTGGTAACTCTTATACAAATATGATTGTGGCTGAAATTATTATTAATTTATCTACTCTCATGGTTCTGCACGTAAGGCTCATTAAAATTTTGGCAAGATAGGAAAGAATCCAGAAGAAATTTTGATATTTCTGTTTCAATTAAAAGTGATTTAAACATCAGCTCAGCAGCAATCCTCAACCAAAAACAAGGGGAAACTTTCAAAAATATTTCCTAAAGTCCATGGAATTGAAAGCTCTGCTTTGAAGGAAAGAGGAAGTGGTCCCCATTTAAATGTTTTCCAGCAACCTTGGAAAATAAAAAGCCTATTATATTTGTGTTACTTATTTCAGGCTTAGGGAGGAAATGACAGAGTTCAACAACCTTTTCTCTATAAAATATTATCCCGGAACTTTTAAACCTGACTATTACTACTTATGGAAAATGAGATATTTTTCTGACGTGGTTTATAATTTAAGTATATGTGAGAGTCAAAATGATTTGAGAACCAGAGATAAATCACTGCAGCTCTGGCTTAGTAATAAAAGGAATTTATTGAATGAGGAGGTGAATGGTGCCAATGAGACCATCTTTGAACAACAGAAACCTGGGGCACTCTGATGGTGACAGAATGTGTCCAAGGAAGCAGACAGGCTTTTCCCCATGAACCACTGGTGAGGAAGACACACAGGAGGCACAGGGAGGCCCAGACCGAGGCTGTGCGCTGCAGTGGCAGCTCACGCACCATGTCCCCGCGACTGCTAACAATAACCGCTGTCCATGCGGGGGCGTTGCATGGTAGTAGGCACTGCTGGCTCCACGCACTCTCTCCATGCGCTCGCCCATTTCCCAGTAAGCCTAGAGGACCGGAACCTTAACTGTGAGCGCATGGCACATTGCAGGTGCCCCCCAGACGTTCTAGAATAAATATGTACCGAGCACTTTGCTAAGCTTATAGGGTGGTACAATAAACGAAAAGGTTCCTGACCCATAGCTGCTTACAATCGAGTTAGAGAAAGGAGTTGCAAACAAAGAAAATCAGTAATACAAGGTGGAACGTGGTAAATGCCTGACTGATTAAGACGTTAATTGCAACAGGAATTAAGAAGAATGTGGAATGGGAGGAAGAGAGGAGGAGGAGGAGGAGGAGAAAGCAGAAGCTAACCAGTGGACGGGATCAGATGCATGGCATAAATCACTTGTGTGTGGCACGAAGGACAACGACCATGTGTGGAGTTAGCTGGTCAGAGTAATCGACTGTGGATTCCTTAGGGTAGGGACTATTTCCCCTACGTATCCGTATCCAGCCCGCGGTTGGGTACTGGCGCAAAGCGACAGTCTACCAGTCCGCTGCGTGGGGGCGGAATGCGGGATGATTAATTGTATTAATTATATAACATTTGTATGTTTGTCTACATTTATTTTTGTGTGTGTATATATAACGTAAACGTACATTATATGTTATACGCTGTATGTGTGTATATCCACACTGTATATGTATAATATACATACATACATACTATTAATATAAATTTATATATATATGTGTGTGTGATAAAAACCCGGGGACATTCACATAGGAGGCGGAGGCGTGGGTGGCGGCTGTGTCCCGGAGTTGGAGCGCAGGGCTGGCCAGGAAAGCCGCGGACAGCCAGAACGAGGACTTCTAACAGGAGGAGCTTCACTGCGGGCAGAGGCCACGTCGCTCTGGGCTCGGAGGAGACTGCGGACAGGCTGTGGGGCTGTGACCCCTCTGTCACCCGGCTAAACGCCAGTCCTCCTGCCGGCCTCGGGTGATCTGCGGGCGCGGTTTGGGGATGCCACGCGGGCTGCGGCCCCGCTGCCCCCTGTCGGGCCGGACTCCGGGCCTCCGTGGAGGGCGGAGGTGTCGCCCTCTCACACTTGGGCACCGCAGAGGGGCGAGGGGACGCCCGCGGGCCGGGCGGCGTCGCAGGCTGAGGCCGTGCTCGGGCCGGCGGCGCGGGAAGCTTCGCGGAGGCGGGACGGGGCGGGGGCGCGCAGGTGGCTGTCGGGGAACAGCTGGCGGCAGGAGCGGCGCTGAGGGGCCGCGGGCGACGCGGGGAGGGGCGGCTCTCGGAGGGCGGCAGAGCGGGCGGCGAGGGCGGTGGGCGCAGGCTGGGCGCAGGCCCGGCGGACGGTGCGCTCGCTCGCGGCGTCGAGGACGGACCGTGGAGCCGGGGAGCCCGAGGAGCTCTGCGGGCAGGGCGTGCTCGGGCAGGGCCGGCAGGCAGGAGCGGCTGGCCCCGAGGGCCCGGCCCGCCTGCAGCTCCGGGAGAAGCCGACGAGCCCAGAGGAGGGATGTCGCGGAGCCGACAGAGTGCTGAGCCGCGGAGCGGCGCCCCCAGCAGAGCCCAGGGCGGGACCCGCGCCTGCGACGGGCAGCGCCGCCTCGAGCGCAGAGCGGGACAATCCCGCCGGCCCCCGGGCGCCGCTCTGCCGTCTCTGCTTCGGGCTGCGCTGCGCCGTCCTGTCCCCGGTGGCGAGTGGCGCGCTGCACCGCCTCTGCGTCTTAACAGGGGACAGAAACGGCCACGATTCCCAAGCGCTCGCTTCTTCCTAAGGGCATACACACGAGGATTTCTAAGCAAATGCGTCGCTGGTTAGCTTCGAGTTTGCGCTGGAAAATGGAACAGAGAAAACCCACTGGGTTTATTTTTTAGCTCCTGTAGGAATGCATGACCATCCCCTATGGTTTAATGGTCACCTAAGTATCCCTCTTGGCAGCAACGTGCAAAATCAGTCTATAGCTGGCACAGCTTAGCCTGTTCCAAGGTGAGCATTGCAACCTACGTTTTGAGAGAGGGAGAGCAATGGGCTGGTACAGGGAAGGGAGGCTTATCTTAAAGTCCAAGGCCGAGGGTCTCAGCCCTGCTGGCCCCTGGGTGTCACCTGGTCCTGGGCTCTGGGAGGGGCAGGCCTCCTCTGCTCTCTGCACCTCCATTTAGCTGTCTGTGAAATGGGACATCACCTGCTCCATGCTCCCCTCGCCAAGAAGTTACAATGATGCATACATCCTGAAGGGCACACAACTGCATGCGCTAACATAAAACGATGTCCATGGTAGCTGGAAGAAAAGCAAATTATATAACATTTGTATGCTTATCTACGTTTATTTTTGTGTGTGTATATATAACATAAATGTACATTATATAGGTTATACACTGTATGTGTGTGTATATACACACTGTATATGCATAATATACAGTGTATAGAGTATATACATACATACTATTAATATAAATTTATATAAATATATGTATATAATAAAAACTCAGGGATATTTACATAAAATAATAACTGTGATTATTTCTGGGGTGTGTGATTACAGTGACCTTTTACTTCTATTTCTTTTATTTTTTTACCATTTGTATTTTTATATGTTTGTGTTTCATAATCAGAAAGGATTTAAATGTAAATATAAATAGCTAAATGAAGAAGGTTCCTTGCCTATGGAAGCCCATCTTGTTCCATCAGTCAATAGATGCTCTTATCCATCTCTGGAAAAACTCTGACGCAGTGAGGCTTGCAAGACCTCAAATGGCCTTTCCTCCTGACAATTTGCTTTTAATGTTCCCACCTCTCATCCCGGAGCTCTAGTGCCAACTGGCTACCAGAGCCTCGCTGATGTCAGTTTATGCAAGATGTCCATGCACAAATTGAGTCTGTTAAAATTTTAAAGCCCACTAACATTTTCTCCGATAGGAAAACGCCTCCTCACCAGGAATAAGCAAGTATTTAGGAAAAAAAATTCTTTGCCTTAAAATGGTTGGAGAGCAAACTTTAAGGGGGCTCTTCATTATTAGTATTATTATTATTATTACCTCAAGAGATTTAAAAAATCAAATTTGGCAATATTTGTGTTTCCCTCCCCAGGAGTTGGGACAGGGCAATGGTGGGGTGCACAGCAGGAGTCCCGTGAATCCACATTCCGAAGGGCCCAGAGGGGCTCTGGGGGGGGGCTCTGAGCAGGCTCAAGCTGGGATTTCCGCATCATCTGGGCCTGCCTGGGTCGGTCGGGGTAGAGTTATAATGAGCAGTGTGAAATTAGCGCAGCTCTGTTTGCCCATTACTGCTGCTCAGAAGGAATTCTGCTCTGTGATAACAGGGCTGTAACTCTAAGACACTTGGGAGCACTCTGCACCTGGAGGGGGCTGCGAGGGAGTGGCAGGAAACCGGCTCAGACACCTGTGCTCATCTTACTATATTAAAATCTTTTAAGCTAACTAGCTGTTAACCTTGTTTTGTGATATTCAAAATTCTGAGCATTTCTCATACGCTTCTGTTGAATTCAACTCATAAAGAAACGCTGCATCTTACAATTTTTATGTTGTCCTTCGACTCCAGAAAGTCTGATGTTGATAATTGCATGACATCTAGTAGGAGCTGGGGATCTTCACAAAAACCCCCGGGGAGAAAAGTTCCATTTCATCCAGGCTTACTGTGAATTATTTACAGAAAATGACATTTAAAACTAAAATAGATGGAGATCTATCTGTGTCACCATATCTAGTCCCCCAGTACTAAACAAAACAAACAAAACTGTCAAAGCACCAGCTCTTCCGGCACGGAGAGCAACCAACCAATCTGATGTCTCAGTCCTGGCTGGAGGCTGACAAGAGATGAAGACAAAAGAGGCCATCGTTGGGTCCACAAGGAGAAGAAGGCTCAGAAATGTAAAGTACTCGCCACGCCTCACACAACCAGTTAATTGCAAGCCAGGAACAGAACCCACTGTTGGCCTCTCAGCCAGAGTTCTTTCCACTGCGCTGCCTGCCTTTTTACCGGGCTGAGCATGTACCTCTCCCAGGGAACACTGGCACTTTAAGACCCTTTTGAGACACAATGATTTAACCTAAAAGAATGATGCTAACCAAGGAAATTTCAGACAAAATTGCACAGGGAGATATTTGGAGCCATCAGAACTTTTGACACTCTTCCAAATCACCACCCTGGGGTGATTATTTTGATTGTGCTGCTTTTCCCTTGGAAAACCATTACTTGCTTTTCAGCTCTGCTAGACTTGGTGAGATGCCACATATGTGGGCTTTCAGAGTCCTCCAATGCACACTCAGTTTTCGCTGATTAATTGATAAGAAGGTTCAATACTGTTTACGTGGCATTTATTCTGCTTCAAGTGCAAATTTTTCCATCACTGAAAACATTCCTTCAAAGCAGTGGTGCTTTGGAGATGGCTCCTAGCAGCTCGCAAGAGCAGAATCCGAGCACCTTGTCCCAACTCCAGTTCAGTGACTTTAAACTGGCATCGTGAAATTGGCCACTGGGAGAATATTTACATCACAGAACTTGGCAAACACTAAAAGTAGGGATTTTTTTCCCCCCGGAGAGCCTATTTACTGGCATATTATTGGTTCCAAGTACTCATTTTGTACTACAGTAAGAAACTTTATTCATTTGGTAAACTACTACCAATTGGTGATTAATGCATAGTAAGTACACAGTAGATCTTTGTGAAGGAAGGCTTGAGTGAATGAATGAATAGGCCTTTTCCAGATATATACAATGCTCCATGTTAGTTTTTGAGACTCAACTGGGCATTAAAACTATGCTAATGTTGGATTCCCCATCCCTTTTCAGTTTTATCTTATATCCATATAGGTCTCTCAAACACCAGTTCTGAGTGTAAGAGCTTTTCTACAGATCTCTTTCTGGTGCTTGTTTTTCAGATAAGAGCAAAATCAAACATTCCTTCTACTAAAATGAGAAAGTATGATTTAATTGTCATAAAAGGTAATTTTGGAAAAGAAACACTTATTTTTATGAAGGTATTTTTATTTTTTAAAAGCAGAGGCAAATCCCAACCAGAAGAGCCAAACTGTCTGATGTCGCCTCATTAATATTCTGCCTCTCTGATTACTAGCTCCAGAAATTATGAAGAGTTGCTTTTAAAATGGATGTTCAAATTCAATATGATTGTGCTTTGCATCTTGTTCCAGTAAAGTCCCTTGTCGGGTTGCTTGTTGGGAGCCAAGAAAAGCAGCAATTTTTGCCTTGGAAAATCCTGTGAATATTTATATAGTAGCTCTAAGCTGCAGGGAATTTAAGAAGCTTAGAAAAATTTTGCAAAGTTTTTAAAGCAGGGAGTCACTGTCATACCATGGATAGAAATACATTAATGTCAAACTTGAAATTTTGTGAGTGCTCACTATTATTCAATTTGGACCCGGACGCTCACAGCCCTCCGAATGTTTCTGAGCTAATCTGACACGGCAATTTCTACTTACCCAAAGTACGCTATTCAAGATTATCTTCACTAGTTTGGTATGTCTGCTAAACTCCTCTTAATAAAGGCTTAGGGTTTTGGTCTCTGCTTTTCATAAACACAGGTTGAAATTGGGCAAAAAAAAAAAAATATAGACCAGATATCACCTCTCATGTAACTTAACCTAAAAATTGTGTTGTTTTTGGTAGAATCTTACAAAGAAAATATTAAGTGAAGAAAAGTAGAAACAAAAGTCTATATCAGGCCGGGCGCGGTGGCTCACGCCTGTAATCCTAGCACTCTGGGAGGCCGAGGCGGGCGGATTGCTCGAGGTCAGGAGTTCAAAACCAGCCTGAGCAAGACCCCGTCTCTACCAAAATATAGAAAGAAATTAATTGACTAACTAAAAATATATATACAAAAAAAAATTAGCCGGGCATGGTGGCGCATGCCTGTAGTCCCAGCTACTTGGGAGGCTGAGGCAGGAGGATCGCTTGAGCCCAGGAGATTGAGGTTGCTGTGAGCCAGGCTGACGCCACGGCACTCACTCTAGCCTGGGCAAGAAAGTGAGACTCTGTCTCAAAAAAAAAAAAAAAAAAAGTCTATATCATTCCATTTATATGGAGTTTCAAACCAGACAAAATTAATCTGTGGTGTAGACATCCACTTGGTGGTTACCCTTGAGGGACAGTGGCAGAAAGTGATAGGGGGTACTCCCTAAGACATGATGCTCTGTTTCTTAATTTGTGTTCTGGTTACACCATGGTGTGTTCACTCTGCAAGAACACATCCAACTGTTCACTTATGGCTTGGGCACGTTCCTGTATGTAACTTAGATTTCAATACAGAGTTCACTTTGGGCTGTTTCCTGATTTCTTTGGAATTCTAAAGGAGTGAATCTAAGTAGACAAGAGTGGCTTCCAAGAGGCTGTTACTTAAATGAGTTTGATGTCTAAAAGGGGAATGGAATCCCCACATAGAAAAACGTGGGCCTTACTGTATGAATTCCACCATTTGCCTTGAGGAAAGAAAGAGCTTTAACTTCCCATGCTTCAGCAATTTGTTTCAAGGCTCACTTTCAAGTTCCTTCTTGCAAATAGGTGTTTGGGAATAAAAACCAAACCTTGTCTTTCAACTCTTTAAAATGTGTTTGGAAAATAAGAGAGACTTTTGGATGTCACCTGGGTAGCTCTGTGACAGCTTCAGAGAATCCTGCTCTGGTGTGCTTTCACCTGACCCTAACTCTGCCAGGGAGCGCTGGGCTAATTACAAGTGGCCAGCTAGCATTTAGTCAATAAATAGCCTGGCTCAGCAGACAGTTAATGCAATGCCAGATCAATAGGAACTCTGGAAATTATTTCTTCATTTCCTTCTATGGCAAGTAAGTTATCCATGAAGGACAGAATGTCAGACTTCAGTCAGGGGAGTGCAGAGCTTTTCATTATTTGGCTATGAGATGTTGAGACGGGGCAAATGTAAATAGCTGCATGCTCCTAACTGATGTGGGGTCAGATTTTCATTTTGAAAAGAAATAGGCTCCGAGAAGCTTTTGCAAGAACGGCCCAGTCTTCTCAACCAAGAGCGCTTTCTTTTCCTGGAGGGATCCTTTTGAGATGGGACCCCTCTGTCACTTGGAACAACTTGCTGTCACATCAGCTTTTAGCAGATGATAGGTAGTTATCTTTCACAATCTTATGTAATGAAGGAAAAATCAAAAGAATATTGAAAGATCAGAGGAAACGATTTAGAGGAAAGATGTTAAAATAGTCCCTTAGGTGACCTTCTGATAATTCGCATGGAATGCTACTTGGCTTCCAATTCTGTGGCTGTATCAGAGTGAAAATGAAGCTCCTTTTCTGTACTGTCTGATCTCAAAGAGGCCTTAAAGTGCCAGCGTTCACCATGACCCTGTTGCAAGGTTATGGCTTTGAGCCTTGGGAAAACAATGACTCAGATACTAAATGGGGAATAATATACTTCCTAAAACGAATAACCCCTCTAGCCAGTTAAGAGGTCCGGCTGGTGATATGATGGCTGTCTTGATTTTTGAGAAGTGAGGAAAATGCAGAGTCAAATTGCAAAGTATCAGAGAGAGTTCTTTCCTTGCTATGATTAACTTCAAACCGATAACCGAGGTATATTTTTATTCCCACATACAATCTGAGAACTCCTTTTCTGACTCTGGGATGGAGAAAGACGTCTCTACGTCAGGAGCGGTTTATGCTCTACTTACTTCCTTGGAACCTCCTACCTCCTGGCAGCACAGTGACATTTCCCCAGGGGGAAGCAATCTGGAAGCAGAGAGTGGGTTTTTTTTTTCCTTATTCATTTATTTTTATTTATTTATATTTTTAGGAAAATAAAAAGACTACAGAATTCCTTAAATTCATTTGCAATGTCATCAATTCAGGGGGAAAATAAGGACAGATCTGTCATTTCATCTAAATTTTCCATGCATGCTTCCCCCCCACCCAACCCCCAGAGATTTTGTTCTCTCATTGTCTCTGCACAGGCATAACAGAATATTGATTGACTCACTAGGAATTAATTCTCAGCATTTCCCATTTGTTTGTTTTTCCAAATTACTAATGACGTTAAGGGATATTCCACCGTGGGCAATGGTCTTTGGCGTTCACTGGTTAAGTTTTCAGATATGTGCTATCGTGGAAACAGTTGGCTCCACACCATTGTCAGAGAGTCAGAGACCCCCTGGCAGCAAGCCCGCTGGCGAGAAGGCTGATGCCTCTGACTTAGCAGTTGGTTTTCACCTCCGTGGTCCTGCTGGCTTTCTTCTCCTGACCTCCTTCTGGACTTCCGGGGTATCTCAAGTTCAGCCACCATTGCCTTCCTGTGCACGGCTTGTTCTCTGCCCAGACCGCTGTCCCTCACACTTCCCCCAGCTGGTCCTTTCATCAGTCAAGTTCGCACCTTAAACACCACTTCCTCTTGAATTCTTTCTTGCCCTGCCTGTGAAACACTGGTGTCTATACAGCCTGTTGTCTTGTTAAACTGTCCCTTGGCTTTTCCTCCACTGTGAGAATGATTCTACTTGCCTTTTTATTTAATTGAATTAGTCTATTTCCCTAGGTTTGAGAACTTCCTGAATCCCCAGCCTGGCCTAGGGCTTGCCACAGGTACCATCAGAACCAACAATGTGAGGGAAGGGAGCTAAGGAGAAGTGGAATTTCAGGGATCAGTCAGCAGAAAAATATCCTTATTTAGGGGCTCAGGTGTTGTTACTCCCAAAACTGCCTCCTAAGTAGCCATGTACTCTGCTTGTGCTTTTCGTCCATCTACATCTCTGGAAAGTTCTTTGTTTAAAGAAAAATGTATTTGTACTTATTTAGTTTTTTGAGGTGGGATCTTGCTATGTTGTCCAGGCTGGTCTCAAATTCCTGGGCTCCAGTGATCCTTCAGCCTCAGCTTCCTCAGTAGGTGGGATTATAGGCACAAGCCACCTCATCCGACTTAGATGGCTCTTTTTGGTGATAAATGTCACACACATTTGCAGGGCATTGGCTAGGGTTAGTCCATTAGTCAATCAGCAAGTGCATTTTTTATTATGTGCTGAATACTCCACTAAGCAATATTGTGTAGAGTTAGGCCAACTGCCTTGTCACCCACTCCACACCCCTCAGAGATGGACCCTGAAATCATGATCTCAGCCACAGTGTACTTTCACACTCTGGATGAATCAGCCCCGCCTGGCCCAGGACGTCTCTCGGCTCACTGCCGTGAGCAAGGTTTATACAGCGCACGTCTACCATAGTGAATGTCTTCCCTGACTCAGTTCTTGTGTCTCCTTATACTTTTCCTGTTGGATTTGAGTGAGCAAGTAGATGAACTGGAAGAATAAGGAAAGGATGAATATTTGAGATTTTGTTATATTCATATAAGAATAGGAAGTTGGATAGTGTACTGGAAGGCTTTGCAGTCAGCGGGTCCGGTTAAAACTACAGCTCTGCTGCCCTCTATGATTTGGGGCATGACAGGGAATCTCTACAGCCAGGAGAGGGGGGGCCAACTAGTGCACAGAGTTCTCCTAAGAAATATAGGAGCAGTGCAGGGTGTGTGCTGGGCCTGGGCCCTAGAGCGGCTGTCATTGTCCACTTCCACTCCTGAAAGGAGACACCTGGCTAACAGAAGCCATGGATTTCTGGCTTGGATAACAAGTTCCTAGAGGCCAGGTAACATTTAGCACTGGATCACACTTATTTTCTCTAAGTTTTTCTTTTCTGTTTTATTTAGCTGAGATAGCAATAGCCTCACACAACTTCAGCTCACAAAACTTCAAAACCCTCCTGAAAAAGCTGTGCCCTAACGGCGCCTCCCTGCTAGGAGTTTGTAGACGCTAGGACGTGGCTTCCGTGAGTTCTATTTCACACAGTGTGCTCCTCGGGGCAGGAATGTCGCCTTTTTGTCTGGTTATTGCTGTTGTTCAGCAGGGCTTCATCCACTGTAAAGCGGCTTAGACATTCATGATGGTTTATGAATAATGAACGACTGTGACTCTGACAGAGCCAACAGCCCAATGAGTATGGCGGGGATAGAGCTCCAAATGTGTGTGTGTGTGTGTGTGTGTGTGTGCGCGCATGCATGGAAGAGGGCACTGTGTGTGTGAGCATGTGTGTTGGGGGTAGAGGGCGTGTGTGTGTGAGCATGTATGTGAGTGCGAGTGAGCTCGTGTGTGCCAGTGAGAGCCTGTGTGAGAACGTGTGTGAGCATGTGTGTTGGGGGTAGAGGGCGTGTGTGTGTGAGACAGTGATTGTGGGTGACAGCTTGTGTGTGGGAACACGTATGAGCACGGGTGAGTGTGTGAGAGAGCGTGTGCATGGAAAATGTGTGTGCAAGAGAACACGTGTGCGTGTGGGAGTGAGCTTGCGTGTGTGAGCATGTATGCTTGTGTGTGAACGTGTGTGTGAGCACTTACGTGAGCTGTGCGTGAGCGGGTGTGAGTGTGTGTGTGGGTGTGAGTGTGTGTGTGTGGGTGTGAGTGTGTGTGTGTGGGTGTGAGTGTGTGTGAGCGGGTGTGAGTGTGTGTGTGGGTGTGAGTGTGTGTGTGTGGGTGTGAGTGTGTGTGTGTGGGTGTGAGTGTGTGTGAGCAGGTGTGAGTGTGTGTGTGTGGGTGTGAGTGTGTGTGTGTGGGTGTGTACGTAGGTGGCCCTTGACAGCAGCTCTAGGGACAGAGCATTTACAGGCCTTCATCCTGTCTCCGCCAGGCCCCGGCAGCGCAGGTCGCCGGGGTCCTTAACAATGGAGGCTGCCTCTGTGGCACTTGCCATCAGGATGGTCGCTGTTCTCTGTGACCCTGTCTTTTCGCCCTCGTCCCCTGCCCAGCTCCTCCTCAGAGGATCCAGCGATCTAGCACACGAGGGTGCGCACGTCCCCATCCGATGGGGCCCTCCCCAGCCCTCCCCCGTCACCTCCGGCCAGCACGAGGGGACGAGACGCACGGGGACGTGAACAGCGACAACTCGCTCTGTGCAGGCAGCGTGGCTGGCCCCGTGTCTCTGCCACCACAGTTCACCCCACAGCCACACTGTGGGGAAAGGACTGTTTTCTGCCCTTGTAAAGAGAAGAGAGTCAAGGTTCTGAGAGGCGGACAGCTGCCTACGGCTGCGAGACAAGCTGCAGCTGGACCCATGTCGCGCCATGTCTGACCTGGGCCCTCTCTTCCTGGTGATGATAGCTATGGATTGAGGGCACAGCAGCAGAGCAGGAGTGAGGCTGGAGGAAGCTCAGAGTGTCCCCTGCCTGATGAGGACACGAAAGCCCAGCAAAGACACGCATTTCTGGGGCAGAGCTGGGAAAATGATGCAAGTGACCCAAGTCCCAGCACAGTGCTCACAGCCCTTGGTGCTCGGTCTCGGTCTGCAGACTGGCCGCGGGTGAAGGCCTGCACAGGGAGACCGTGGCTTTTGCTTTCTGTGCCGGTCATTGGCGTACTGTGACGCTGTGTCATGGTTCAACTCTTTCCTTGGTTAGTGGAGAATAGGCCTTAAAATAAAAAGCAACACTTCAACCGAAGGCCCTGCTTTGAAGTTGCAAACCTGGGCAGGGCGCTCCTCACCGCATTGCAAATCCCATTTTACGTAATATTTGCTTTCGAGTCTTGCAATTGTAGAAAGTTGTTTTCTTTCCAAACAAAACTCTAGGATTATATATACATTGTAGGAGTACAGAATAGATTAAATTTGTGGAAAAATTGATAGTGATAATGGTAGCAATAAAACAGATGAGTTTTGTGTTTGTTTGGTTTTTGGTTTTGATATTTAGCGTATTAAAGATGGAGAATGATAGCGAGAATCAGTTCCTGATCACCTTATATGAGAAGAATTATATGGTAGGAACAAGCCAGTTCCTCCTTATGTGCCACACAACTTCAAGGTCTTGTATCTTCAGAAGAAAAAAAAAATACGTAAGAATCTGCATCCCGATGGCTGAGACTTCTTTCATTCCTTTGGTTTCCGCTGGACTCTACTTGACCACTACAACAATGGCTTTTAGGTTGAGTCTGAAGGAAACAAATAATATTCAAATATAAGCACCTCTTTCTTTCCAGTGCCCTGTATTTGAAGCAGGTCAACTCACTAGGCACCAGTGGAAGGGAACGTGTTTATTCTTTACAACATACATGTGTGCATTTATGTTCTATATTATCAACTGTATATTTAGTTACACCATCATGTTTTAAAAACCAAAGTGCCAGTCTATAAATGATAATTCTTTTATTGCACAGGGTATCTGCCTTCCTTCAATCCCAGCCTCTCCAAGTCCTTCCAGAGGGGATGTGGACAGCTGGTGACACAATCAACTTCAGGTTGAGCTTTCCATGATCAAATGTGACGGTGGGGCAGCCACATCAACTATGACCACCTCCCGAGTTCCTGTTCTGTGCAGTGCGATTGCTGGGAACTTTGTGCGTTATACATTTGATGTTTATTTAAGTAGTACATATACAGACTTGCCCCCTCTCTTCTGTAATGTCTGCTCAAATGAAACAATCCTTTTCAAATATTTTAACTATTTCTTCAGGCATTTCTCTCCATTTCTCTAAATATTATCTTTACACTGAATTTGTTGACTTTTCAGCTTTATTCATAATATATTGATTTTTTTTACAACAATGATAAGGGTTTAGCTTTTCCCTCCCCTGTCCCCCACCACTCCATTCACACGCCCATCCACCCATCTTCTCCTGGTAGGTGCATCGTTGTTTCTGGTTAACTGAATATGCAATGCTTATGATATTTATATGCATGTAGTGTTATATATAGCTGGCCCACATAGCATATAATGATTTTAGTTTTCCTATTGAAACAATTTTTGGAAACTTCTTTGAAATGGTTTTTCCCCTCTGGAGTTAAAACTGCCATGATTTGATTTATTTTTCTATGGACTCATCACTAATTCATTTCTAATACAACAGTAAATCTCCTCCTGATATATTATAATACATCAGACAATATTATGTTTCCTTTTTTAAAAAAAATTAAAGACATTCTTACTGAAGCCCACCATCACCCTATAATCCAAATTGGCCATTCCTACCCTGATGTACAACTACCCTCTTGGGACTTCTCTTATTATCTTTTACCTTTTCTTCTACAGTAGAGTCATGACAGTAGAACCTTGAATCACCCGGGTTGGAACTACATGGATCCACTCATATGTGGGTTTTCTTCTGCCTCTGCCACCCGAGACACCAAGACCAACCCCTCCTGTTCTTCTGCCTCCTCAGTCTACTCAACATGAAGACAATGAGAATAAAGACCTTTATGATAGTCCACTTCCACTTAATGAATTGTAAATATATTTCCTCTTCCTTATGATCCTCTTAATAACATTTTCTTTTTTCTAGCTTATTTTATTGTAAGAATAGAGTATATAATACATATAACATAAAAATACATGTTAATCTACTGTTTATATTATTGATAAGGCTTCTAGTCCACAGTAATCCATTAGTAGTTAAGGTTTTGGGGAGTCAAAAGTTATGCATGAACGTTCAACTGCACTAAAGATTGGTGCCCCAATCCCTGTATTGTTCAAGGGCCAACTGTATTTTCATCTTCATTTTTCTTTGCTTTATCTACCACCTGTCTTTTGTTGCTATTGTGGAAAAACATTCAGTGGCTAACTCAGAAAAAGGTTCATGGGAGGTAAATTTTTGAAAGCTTGAATGTCTGAATATATTTTCATTCTCCTCCTACATTTGATTGACAGTTTGAATATGGAATTCTATATTGTTTATGTCTTTCTCTTAATATTTTGAAAGCATTGCTCCTATCTTCTAATCCCTCTGAGCATATTCATTATAATTTTGTTGAAGTTTTCTTCTGGTTGTTACATTATATCTATTTCTTCTAAGTTATTTTTTTTCTTTTTTCATTTGCTTGTTTTGGCTTTTGTCTTTCATGTTTGTAGATTTATTCAAATGTCTGGGGGTTCTTGGCTGTCTTTTTAAAGAGTAAGGCATTGAAATGTTGATTGGAAGTTCTTTTGTGTAGATGAGAATTGTCAACCAATAGAATTTGCTATAGGGTGATTTGGGGGACTATGCAATTTTGCTGGAGAACCCTGAATTGGTATGTGTAGATTTTTCTTCATTGGCTGAGTTTCCCTCAGAGGAGTTCTGAAATCCACTTCCTGGTGGCATGAGCTTGGCCACTGGGCTGCAGAGGGAGAATGATCAGGGGAGTGTCACACTCCAATATGTAGACGTCTACTTATGCCATTTAGTTTTAGCATGGTGATTTACCCCCAAGCTTGGCTCCGCATGGTGTTCAAAGCCCAGAACATCTTTGGTTCAAGCTCTCCAGAGAGGAAACTCCTAGACTTTAGCAAGGGTGCAGGAGGGCAGTAGCTTGGCTGCATAAACCAGGGAGGAAATCCAGAGATTTGGTGGTGATCTTTACAAAGATTTTCAACAAGGAATCCTTTTAAAAAATTTGAAGCTTCATCCATACCTTTGCCTTTAGAAGTTCCAAGTACCTGAAATTCCTGAGCCTGTCTGCAGGCCAGTGTGACCGGTAAGCTTGCTCATTATTGGTTTCCCCTCTTGCAGGCTGAGGTTTTAACCAATTATCTTTGTTCCATGAGCTTTCTAACTTTCAAATATGTCCCAGGGGTGGGGAACCTGCAGCCTTGGGGCCACATGTGGCCTTATGGATCCTTGAGTGTGGCCTTTTGACTGAATCCAAATGTTACTGAACAAAGCCTTTAGCTACTTTTCCCTGCTGTCACTTTTGTCCTTTTAAGTTTATCACCTCTCCCATTTAAAAAAAATGCTCTATAATTATAATAACATTTTAGGAAGAAGTGAACGATATGTATATTTTAATCTGCCATGATTAACTGCACTTGCCATCCTTACTTGACTAAAGAGATCAAAAACTTACATAAGGCCATATAGCTCAGCATGCGACATTGTCAGAATTGCAGCCCTCTAGGAAGGAAAGAAAAGGAAGATAAAAAGGAAATCAGGACTGAGATAACACAGGGTGTCTGGTTAGAGAGTGATGAGTAATGGAATGATGAATTGGTCATAGAAGGTGTTGCTATGAAACATGGAGTTAAGGGAACAGAAGAATATAGTGTCTTTGAACAATGAACAATGATTTCACCTGACTTCTCCCTTCTTCCTTTCAGTTGTTTCTCTTCCCCTCTTTTCTTTCTCTCCTTTCCCTTCCCTCCATGAATAGTTTTGTAGAGAATTCATGCGTTAGGCTCAGGGCTAGTCCTGGGGATATGGTGGTGTGTAAGACAGAGTTGTACTCCCTGTCCTTGAGAGTTCCTAATTTAATGGAATGAAACAGCACTCGCAGGGCAGTATGCTCAGAGCGCATAGGAGGGCCCTGGACACCTAACCTGATTTTGGAGGAACAATGCAGCTGGCTCTTCCAACCACTTCCAGAGCTCCTTATTTTGATCCATTTGTTCTTAATGTCAATATCATCTTTGTCATCATGATTGTCATTAACAACATCATAATCATTTATAGAAATTCTACTACTTACCTGGTACCATGGTAGAGCTTGCATATAGCTTATGTAATTTAATTCTCATAACGATCCAGCAAGATGGGCATTATCAGCATGAGAATACTGAGATTCAGTAACTCCCCTGAAGGCACCAGTAGTAAGCAAGGCTTCCTGGCCTGCCCCCTCGCTCTGACTCTTTAGATGTTCCTTTTCAGCATCTCCCTAGTATCCAATGTAGGTCATCATCCTTGTGCTTAGCCATCATAAATTTTTTAATTTTTGTGTGCTCACAGAAACTATTTCTTACTTATCTCTGTACCCCTAATGCCTAACACAGTATCTGGGGCAGGATTAAAACCCATTAAATACATAATATTTTATGTTAGCATTTGAACCCAGATTTTTCTAATTATTAATACAAAGCTCATGCCTTTCCATTGTGTGTCATTGTCCTCCAGTTGAGGCTTTTTCTTACTGATGTTTCCTCTCCGCTGTACAAACAAAGGTTTGCCTTTGGCCCACTCTTACTTTCTGCCCCATAAATGCTGGCCCCTACTGGTAAATTGTCTTCCTCTCTCTGGAAAGACTTGTGATCAAGCCAACAGGCACAGACACATCTTTTTCAAAACGAAATAAATGCCTCTTAGGAAAATCCCTCACTGCCTTCAAATGTAGTCACAGCACAAATTTAAGCATCAAAACAAACTTTTCATTATAAATATTTACTACATTGTGGACAGAGACTTAGGAGTCCATCTGTTCTATGGGATTTTCATTTCAGTAGAATCTTTTGAAACCAGATCAGCAAATCATTGTTACTATTGGCTGCACATGGAAATATCTTGCTTAAACAGAACCCTGTGTTCAAATGGCAACTGTTATGAACCTTGAGCTTGTCTACACAGAGCTGCAGAAGGCAGCAAAGATAAGCGATGGTGGGAACCCGACTCCTCGACAGTCCATCATGGGGCTGCATCTCCTGGAGCACTCCCGCTGGCTCACAGGCTGTGCCGCCCCAGGTGAAACAGCAGATGGAACTGGTGTTGTGTTGAGACACTGCTGCCTCCCTCCAATTCTTTGCCAATTTCTTTTTCTTTGCCATATCCATAAATGCTAACTTTTGGAAACAGTTTTTCTCTCTGAATAGCAGAGAGAAAAACCTGGTTATATTCTGGCTTTGCATTTGGAAATCGTGGCCTCGGCGAGCTTGAGGTGCCTGAATGCTAAATCTCTATTTTCATCACCTGTCAAATAAGGTGAACAGTGTTGATGTGGAGACGACGTGAGATTGCACAGTGAAGCACTAGCACCCTTCAGGGTGGATCATGGTTGACAATGACTCTTCATTTCCCTTGAAGAAAGATAGAAGGAGGCCGGGCACGGTGGCTCACGCCTGTAATTCTAGCACTCTGGGAGGCCGAGGCAGGCGGATTGCTTGAGGTCAGGAGTTCGAAACCAGCCTGAGCAAGAGCGAGACCCTGTCTTTACTATAAATAGAAAGAAACTAATCAGCCAACTAATATATATATAGAAAAAATTAGCTGGACATGGTGGCACATGCCTGTAGTCCCAGCTACTTGGGAGGCTGAAGCAGCAGGATTGCTTGAGCCCAGGAGATTGAGGTTGCTGTGAGCTAGGCTGATGCCACGGCACTTACTCTAGCCTGGGCAACAAAGTGAGGATTCTGTCTAATAAAAAAAAAAAAAAAAAATATATAGATATATATATATATATATATGATGGATCATAGGCTCAAGAGGTACCCATGAACCTCTCCCAGATACTGTGATTCCATGATGTCAGGCTGGGCACCTGTATATCTCAAGTGTCCCAAGGAAATCTAAGTGAAGAACCACTGCCGTAAGTGAGATATGGAACCAGTTTTCTCAGCTGAGACAAAAGATTTTGGCTCCCAGTTGAAGAAAAAATGGAATATCAAATTCAGGGTGTAGCAAGCAATATCACTTTCTATTTATAAAGCATTTTATAATATAATATTTATATTTATTCTTTCTGTATCCTTGAGAACAAGTTTGGCTTTATGAGCCATGCTTTCTCCTTGAGAACACAAAGACAAAATGATTCACTCAGAATGTCAATGGGAGAAACAGGATTGAAATCCAGAATATTTATCATCTACAGCAGCTAAATGCTACGGTCCTTACTCAAGCAGGGTATCTACCGACAATATGAATAACTGACTGCACTAAAAACTTTGTCAAATGAGGCTCATAAATTGTGTTTTAATAGAATATTATAAGTTGGCTGAGCTAAAAGGCAAATATCAATCTTACAATTTATATTTAAGAATAAGTTGAAAATGTTATTCAACCATTTGTGGAAACGATCAAGAACTAGTCTACCAAAATAGATTTTTAATGGGAATAGAGCCAAATTCAGAGGTATGTACAAGTGAAAGAAAATAGTTTGTATCAAATACAGTTTTGTAGGTACAATATAGGGAAGATCTTGGGAAATTCCCAGAGTTTTTATTTAATAAGAAAGTCAAAGCGTGCTTCCAGGAAGGAGGAAGCACTTCTCCCAAGCTGCTCAGTTGTATTTCATGCCTTGTTTTCACAGTTTCTTTACATAAAAAACCCAAATTAGAATAACAACAACAGACAAGTTATCTAGAAACTATCATCTGCTGAAAATTTTGTTTAAATGTAATTTGCTCCCTATTCTTCTGTCAAATAAATAGAAAACATGGGGACAGTGTACAACATTATGCAAAAATCATTTGCTAAAGATTAGAACAGGGCCAAAGGAATTCAAATAGTGAAACTCTTTCTATAACACAATTATCTTTCAAAGTTGCCTTTGTACCATTCTTTCCCAGTTCTATGTAAAGGGATGAAGAATATAGTGTTCACCACTCTAGGTATTCCAGCTACAATTTTTGCAATGAAGTATCATGAACTGTGCCATAATATAGAGGCATTTAATTAGAGTCATTTAACACATTGTAACTCACCAATGATTTTTGCATTCAGCATGTTTCAAACAGCTGAGTTTTTAAAATGTGGAGATTTGTTCACCACTAAATATCAACGGGCCTCTGCAGCTGCACAGCCCCTTAAATCTGGTTTGCGTGTGTAGCTTAATGAGTCCTCAGGAACATGACAGAACCAAGGAAACAGCAGCGAAGAAAAATACGCAACTGGGGAGGGAGTTGGCCTAGCCATAGAAGGGGCCCTGGCCAATGGACCCTCGGTTGAATGATGCAGGCAGTGAGTTAGGGGAATGCCTTGGGTGAACGGAATGTGCCCTCATCGCTTCCGCCTTGAGTTCTTGAAGAATCTGTGTAGGTTGAGGAGCCCAGGATCATTTTCTACAGAGTAATACCCCACCAGTTCCCAGAAGTGCAAAGTGAGGCCACGAGGAGGCTCGAGTTGCCCAATTCTAGTTCCCTTACCCATCTGCTCCCATGGCAGCCCGTCACCTTCTATCTGGACTGAAATTCCCAGCATTGCTGTTCGCTGGCACCAACAGGACAGGGAAGGCCACTGTCAACAGGAGGAGGATGTCACCTGAGAGGAATGGGAGGCTGAAAGGGACACAGCTCTCCCTGAATTTCCCTGTTTTTTCTCAAATATATGTTCCTCCTTACCACAAAATCAATACAATTTAGAAACAGATAAATAAAAAAATGAAAATATGAAAACTTGCATTAATTCCACAAACCAAATATAAGCACTGCTAACACTGCGAATTGTGTCCTTTCACTCCTTGTTCTATGTGCAAACATCCTTTTACGTATACTTATGCATTTCTCTGATGGTTTCCTTAGGATACAGCCCTACAGGGTATTTCACTGCCTCAAATGCAATGCATGTTTTAAGAGTTTTTGAAAAATATTACAAAATTGTCCCCTAGACAATTTTGTATTATTTTATATTTGCATCAGGACATAATAGTGACCATTTCCTACCACATTGGCTTCCAGAGAATATTATATTTAGCTTGCTAATTGGAAAGGTGGAAGTCATTTCATAGCTGTTTAAATTTACATTACTTTAATGTCCCCTTGAATTTTCAGCTTCCACGGTCATCTTCGGGGTGGGGTGCGGGGGGTGGTCCTCCTGGGAGACTCACTGAACACCCCCTTTCTCTCTGTCCTTCATCTTATGTCTACAGCAGAGCTAGGGCAGGGTGACATTTTCAAAAAGGATGTTACTGCAGAATGAAGTAGAAACGAAAAGAAATAATTATAGAAAATTAAAACAGCATAAAAATACTCATATGTCTTAGACTAAGTTGAGGAATACGTAATATCAGAAAAAACTTTCCAAAATTTTGCAACTCATCTTGCCCTAATTCCTTCTTTCTTACTCACAGGCCCTATTTGTTTTCTATCTGGTAGAAGCAAACCCTTGAATACCTTCCTTTTAGAGACAAATGACAACTGCTTAAAGCTAAAGCATGCTGCTGATCTAAATTTCCCAAACTCCTAGAAGTCTGTCCTCTCAATTATGGTGTTTTTGTATTTTCTGGGTCAAAACATTAAACATGTATTCATGTTGTTTCT